GTAAGTGTCCATATTCCTGTCGATGGATCGTATAATTCAGCAGTACTCAGACTGTTACTATTATTATATCCACCAGCAACCAGCACTCTACCATTTGTTAATACAGATGCTGTATGACTTGATCGAGCATAAATCATATTGCTAGTACGTATCCAGACTCCAGTAGACGGATCATATAACTCAGTACTATTGAAACTATTAGGAGAATCCCGGCCGCCGGTAACTAATACTTTTCCATTTGATAATAGAGACGCTGCATGGAATAGTCTACGAGATATCATAGATCCAGTCGATGTCCATATTCTCGACGATGAATCATACAATTCAGCGCTATTCAAAACGCCTTCAAAAAAATTCTGTCCACCTGTAACTAAAATTTTTCCATTTGCTAATATAGATGCTGTGTGAACATATCGAGTAGAATTCATACTTCCAGTATTTGACCACCCTAAAAAATCGAGATCCCAAAAACATTGTTCTATATCATGTACAATTCATGATTTATATATGATCGATAAGTATATGTACTAAGTAAGAGGAGGATAGAGTATCACAGTGCTGTGAGTCAGAAAAGCATAAAATCAAGGGCGAACAATAGTGAAGCGTTTGTTCTCATGGAACCTGTGTCATTTCAATTAGCATTACGATACATTTATGACCACGATCTTTTTTATTAAGTATCAGCTAAGATACCTGCTGTTGGTCCAGAACCCCTCAAACTGGAAACTTCATATGAGAGGGTTGTACTCGAAATTTTTCATCTACGACTAAAACATATCCCTCATGCATATATGAGATAGAACAACTTATACTATGTAGTATACCAATCCACCCGTTTTCTTTCAGTTTCCACAGCAAAAAACTTTCTCGTACAATTCCCACTGTAAGATGATTAAATCTTAAGGACATGGGTATTGCACTACGACTAGGTGAGTGTGATTCTTTTCTGTTCACTATTAAGAGTTAAACTTACCACTTTTCATTGTAGTTGCAGGAGTTGTAATCATAGCTGCGGTGATATATCTACTGACACTGGAAGTAGAAATAATATTACGACTAGTGGATGGTACATAAGCTAAAAGTTATTCTACATTGATCATATAATTTTATCAAGTCGTAATATTTACTTGATGTGAAAGTATTGATTGAAGATATTGATTGACTTGGATAATATTTATCTGCTGTAAGCACAATACCTAATGCAGCTCCAATAGCTGCAACAAAACAGATAAAAAGTATTACACCCGGAATAAACCCAACCGTTTGAGTTTTTGCTGCACATCTACAATAGAATAACACTAGTCACATATAATATAAAAATATCAAGCTTGACGTACCCTTCTAAACATGTTTCACTCATTTGAATAATTACTAAACGAGAAGACTGAATGATAAATTAATGATAAGAAAGTATATTCTATTTTTTTCTGAGAAAACTAATAGTAGTGAACAAGTTTATATAGTCTATTGTTTTGCGTAGCGTTTTAAATAAAGTGCCAGGAAAAAAATCTATCTATCAGTGTCCTGAATACTTTTACCTGTATATTTTCCGCGAAGATTTTTTTCCAACATACTTATAATTTTTCCAAGAAAAAATTTTCACGGAAAACTTCAAGTAGGAGAAAAACAAGAGAAAAAAACGCTCATTCATTCAGCTATTGCGCAAAAGACTGTCTAGAAAATTATTTTACATTTTCCTTCACTGTATCACGGAAAAAACCAGTATCTATTCATAGTATCTCGTTAAATTTCTTTTCGAAACACTCTTTTTTTGAAAATATTAATTGATTAGAACAAATACAACTGGTATTTTATCAATTTAAGAGTACCTTCTTCTTCATTTTTGACTAAACATTTTACGTTGAGTCTAGTACAAGTTCCTCCTTGCATCTGATGAAATTTTTCTGTATGAAAAAAGAGAAAAAAAAACTTTCTTTTAACTCAATCATAGATCATGTATCCTTCACTTCAAGCACATCAAAAAGAACTTTGGCGAAGATCCTATCCAACTACAGTTGGTTTTCTTTTGTCAATATTTCAAATGTTTCTTACTCATGTCATTTTGGGTTGTGAAATAGTTACTTTATTTTTCCATTTTCCTCGAATGAATATTTTTCTTGGCTATTGGACATATCCATTCTTTATGTGTGCATGGATATCATTAGCAGGCGCAAGTACGTTTTCTTTAGTTTAATTAATATCATTTCACTGAGTTTTGCTATATTTCTAATAGGTTGTTGTTGTCGAATTCGTTGTTGTGGAATAGCAACAATGGTTTTTCAATGTTTTGCAATGGTCATGGCATCATCTGTAATTGTTCTGGATTCATATTTTTTAGCCTATCCTCTTCAATGCTTTTTTTCATCAAATTGCAGTTATTCAACTTATGTCTATAGTGATCTTTGGAATCTAAATACTTTATATGCAATTCGAGTTCCAGTCATTCGAGGTCAATTATCAGCTGGTGTATTAATGTTAGTTTCATGCTTTATTTATATTATTATTTATGTGAAGACAAATTCTCGAGTATCAACAGGAGTTACAGTTCAAAATGATCCAATTATTCCAATGAATACAATTCCTACAATAACAGATTATAGTCGTCCTGTGATGGTTTCCTCTTATATTCATCCATCAAATAGAAATTCTATTAATAATAATTTAATACTGCCCAACAATACACTTCTTGCAAATCCAATCAATCTATTTACCTGTTCTTCATGTAACTCAACATATCAAGTTTCTTTTACATTAAAAGTCTAGAAGAAAGTTAATCAAGAACTTCAGTTAGATTCACAACCAATAACCTCTTGTTGTATGAGAATATTATAATTCACTTCTGCTTAAAAATCTAGTATTCCACTTATGACTCAAAACAAAAAAGTAGTACTAAACATTTGAACAACATCATATTTCAACGTTGTATTAGAATTTCTTTTGTTTAATAAAAATTCAATTGATTATAATTAGAATTTTTATGACTTTTCAGAATCTATAACAATAGAACATTATGGTAAAAGCATGAGGAGTGGATGATCTTTCTTATCTCACATCCTCATCCATTCCTATATACAAATATTAGCATTGTGTAAAAGTTTAGTTACGGCAAAATTTGAATATGCCATTAAACGTAGCGATTCATCATATTCTTGCATAAAACCATCAGATAAGACAGGATTTTTTAATAGAAAAAGAAATCAATAATTATGAAGGGTGTAGGTGTAGGTAATATGTTCACCATCACCTCTACTGCAAGTCAAACTCACCCACATCCTAAAATTTAAACTAAAGACTTTTTTAAAATATTGAAGTTCATAAATTATGTAATAAAATGGTTCGGAATAATAATAACGACTATTTATCTTATACGTATAGAAAGTACTATACCGAAATTCACGATTTTTGAGAGAAAAGCTGCGAATCTTGTGACTATTTTTGAAACCACGAAGTTTTTCACATGAAACCTGTGAAGCTCTTAAACAGACTGCGGAACTATAAAGCGTTTTGTATAAGCGATGACAAACTTTTATAGATCGTTCGAAAGTGGCATCCGCATTGTATATTAAATTGCATAGGTCTTGTTAGTGTTTGGTACGATCATTTGTTGCGTATATAATATATCGAACCATTGGAAACGCTACGAAACTATCGACCGGTTCATATAAGAACACTTAACCTTTACGAAGCGTGGAGGACTGTAAACCATAATGTAAAAAATATCTTGAGGGTGTGGGTGTGGGTGTAGATGTGGATGAGGGTGTGAGTGTGGCTATGGGCGCGTAATATACTCATATCCATACCCACATCCACTCATTCACATGCAACACGAAACCATCACCCACATCCACACCCACACCCTCAAGATTCGTATACTTGTCTTATTCGTGTGCTACTTGATATAGAATTTTTTTAACTTTTAATCAAATAATTTATTAACAGTTTCCATTGAAAAATGTTTTTTTTGAATGAACAAGATTATGTTATAATATTATATAAATTATTTAATTCTGGCAAATTATGTAAACTTGTCAAAAGTTTCATCTTTTTTATTGGAGGTGTGACTATAGAGATTGAAGAAAGTCTACAGCCACACCAATATCCACTCCCCTCCATAAAAACAGTGAATCCCGCTCATCTTTTCGGTTGGTGACCCCACTTGAAAATTGCACCACCCAATGCAGAATTTTATTCTACATCTATCAAAGCTAATTTTAGACGGATCATGAGTCTTAAGCCTGATGATAAATTTCTCTACGTAATTATATTATACTAATATTACCCTATTTTAAATTCTTTTTTGTTAACATACATATTCATATAAATACAAGGTAAGTTAATGAATGTCACTATTTTATTTAACCCATTTACATTTACATTCTCGTTCTCATTTTGTCTAACGTCTGATATCATTATATATTACCCTTTAGATTATCTTTTAGGGTTGTTATTTATAGGCATATTCATCCTTGCCATTGATGAACTTACCTCAAAGTCATTTTGCAAGCGAAATGTGCCAATGATTATACATTCTAAATCGAATGAATACTATCAAAACAATTAATTATTATGAAAAACTGCAGTGCTAATCTAAGAGAACATTTAAAAGGATAATTAAAGCTACAGTATTATTTCTAAGTTTTGTTAATCATAATAAGTTACTTCACAAGAGTAGAAGGACAGACATATTTTATTTATATGGAATCGCATATTGAAGTATGAGATAATTCAGTAAAACTAGCAAAGAAAACAGTTCGCGGACGAAATAAAGTATTTTTTGAAATTTGAACTACTGCCAAGAAAAATATAAGGTAAGTGAAAGTTAATTTGTTCCAAATAATTAATATAGTTCTGCACTACCTAAAGCACTAGTGCCATTGTACCCACTAATAACTAATACTTTTCCATTTGATAATACAGATGCTGTGTGTTCTTGTCGTTTATTAGCCATGTTACTAGTAGTTGTCCAAGTTCCTGTTGATAAATCATACAATTCAGCACTATGTAAATAACCAATATTAGTATTGAATCCAGCAGTAACTAATACTTTTCCATTCGATAATACAGATGCTGTGTGCTTATATCGAGCAATACTCATGTTACCAGTACTTGTCCAAGTGCCTGTTGGTGGATCATACAATTCAGCACTATTTAAATAACCAGTAATACCAAATCCACCATTAACTAATACTTTTCCATTTAATAATACTGATGCTGTGTGCCAATCTCGTGCATTCGCCATGTTACCAGTAGCCGTCCAAGTACCTGTTGTTGGATCATACAATTCAGCATTATTTAAAGCACTAGTGCCATTAAATCCACCAGTAACTAATACTTTCCCATTTGATAATACAGATTCTGTGTGTCGATATCGTGCATTAGCCATATTGCCAGTAGAAAACCATCCTAGAAGTTACATTTTTGTATATTTAGACTATACAACATTAAATGATTAAACAGTCAACATTCATCACTCTTGTGCACAGTATTTTTCATTATTCTAAAAACGACAGTCTTTGATATGTCTCTTTTATATCACCTCAAACTTATATAGATCGAGAAGAGTAGTCAAATCTATTGCACAAAATCTCTTCACACATCATTATCACATCTTCAGTTTTTTATATTTTTTTATATGAATGAATGATACTTTATCTGCAAATATGAATGAAATGAATTGTTCTAGTTGAGTGCGATGAAGTCTGAAATATAAATAATATATATTAATACCTCTTTCACATATTTGTATTGCTGAGAATGGTAAACACACTGCTTGTGGTGAGCAACATGAATTAACGATACATATTGAATTATTTGATGAACATGTTTGTGTAATATTATTACATGTTTCTAATATCGAACATAAAACACCAGGTGCACAATAACTTATATTATTTATTGTTCGATAATCAAAACAAGGTGTTGATGATAAAAGACAACTATTGTTACCATTCGAGCTTATATTGCATTGTTGTAAAGAACAATTTGATGTTGAATTCCATGCTGAATGAGATGATGAAGACAATATAAACTGAATAGAAGCATTATTTTCACTACAAGAATAATTAGGTAATTGTGTAGTTTGTCCTAAAGAATTCATTTATATTATGATAGAGTCAAATGAAAACAGATAATCTAACAAACCTTTTACAGATGAAAGAGATATAATGAAAAATAAGACAATAACAGACCGCATTATTTTTTGTGTGATGAATGAAACAATAAAGTATGCACAACAACGAATGATTTTTCTTTACTCTTTTTTTCTTCTTTACTTCCCACATTACTCTTTTTGCTGAAAGAGTATAGAGCTGTTTCTCTCAGCACTTATTTTTGTCCTTGAAATCCAAAATGGATTCCTTTTATTTTGAATTGCTTTTTCATTTAAATGTATTGAAATGTTTCTTTTGTAAGCGTTTTCTACAGAAAAAAAACTCTTCTATGTGTAAAATTCTTATTCTCATAAAATACTCTTTTCTTTTGTTCCTTCATCGCATCTAAAATCATAACATTTCTTCGATCGAAGTTTAAAACATTATCAGGTATGTGATTTTGTTTTAATTGAGGGTGGGTGTGGGCGGTTGTGAACTTTTCTTCAGTCAAACAACACCCACATCCTCGTTCAAATGATTGTTTTTACGTCTGTGACGTCCATTAAACACAAAATAAATTGCGTATATATCGAAAAACTCTGTGGATTCACGTATGCTTTCGTAAATCTTAGATCATTTTTGGTGACTTCTAACAATGAATGATATTTATAATGAAAAACATTCGAGTCATTGCTACTACGTATTCTTGAGAGAACATGAAAAAAACAGGAAACAAGCTATTTACATTCATATGAATATGTGTCCTGAGAGATTAGAAGAGAAGAATGCACATATCGTTTGTTTCAGTAGGCCCCTCTTGGGAAATAGATAAATAAAAAATATAATGTTATATTTTCTTTTTGCAAATCATAAGAAAAAGAAACGATTATTGAATATTTCTACGTGAACAATGTAATTTATTCATCTAACAGCTAGGTTGTGGGTGTGGATATTGGTCTTATCTAGCACCCACACCCTCAAAATTTCAATTTCATATCTTCAAGGCGTTGTGCGTGGCAGGTGCTGATGCAAGTTATGCACTTGTTCAAATGCATACGCTAGTTCGATGAGACATTTTTCACTATAGGGCAAACCTAGAAAGGACATACCCACAGGCAGATCACCTGTAGCAATACCCGCTGGTACAGTAATCTGTGGAAAGCCCATCGCGCCAGCAATATACTTCGGTATATCAGGATCATCCATATGACATACATAGGTCGGATCTGGTTGCTGATCGAACCGAGACGAAGCTGGACAACAGATGGTGGGCATCATCAATGCATTCAAATGTTGCGACTTAATAATAGATTGTAAATCTGCTCGTAGCTGTGGAATGACAACCGATAAAATGCGTGCGTATTTTGGTGAATTGAATAATGGAGTCGTTAGGTTAGTTTTAAGCATGGTTAAACGTTCAGGATTAATCGGTTGTGATTCGTTGCGTTGAATGAACTCAGCCAGAGTATGAGGTTGTTTCGGACCCAAAGTCGATAGATAACGTTCGAATTGATCCTTGAACTCTGCCTCCAACACAGGCTCTAGAACTTCTTGCCATAGACGCTCATAAATCTGTGGTAATTGTATTGGGATCATTTGTGCCCCATTAGTTTTCAAACATTCTACACTTTCGTCATGAACCCGATCGACATCTGGATTTCCTCCACGAAAATTAAGTACTACACCGATACGCGCACCTTGTAATACTTTAACATCTAGATGCGCAGCATACGACACAATATGGTCTGGTTGATCTTGTGTTGCCGCATCGGATGTATCCTTGCCGACTAATGCATCAAGAACAAGCGCTGCGTCTCTCACATTAAACGCCATTGGACCAGTCGTATCGAAGCTCAAGGACAATAGAATCACTCCGGTACGACTAGTAAGCCCCAAAGTGGGCCGTATACCCACCAAACCAGTTACACTTGCTGGCGAAAGGATTGAACCACAGGTATCCGTTCCCAATGAAAATGGAGAAAAACGTGCGGCCACAGCAGCAGCAGAACCGCCACTCGAACCTGACACATTTCGTTTCAAATTATAAGGATTTAACGTCAGACCGCCTGCTGAGCTATATCCAGAACGTCCGTAGGATAATCCAAGTTCGGACATGTTGGCTTTTCCCAAGAGAATTGCACCTCTATCTAACAGTTTCTGTATGACAAAAGCGTTCACCTGTGGAACTGAATTGTTTAGAATGATCGAACCACCAGTAGTAACAAGTCCAGCTGTATCATAGTTGTCTTTTACGACGAAAGGAATCCCATATAATGGATTATCTTGAAAAGAAGCCGTGTGCCGTTGTGCATCACGTTCTCGTGCCTGTGCTATACAATCAGGATTGACAGTGATGAGTGCATTAATATATGGACCAGCTTTATCATACAGTTCGATCCGTGCTAGACAGGCTTCGACTAAGATCTCGGAGGTCAAGTTGCCATTATTTAGGGCCTCATTCAACGATTGGATAGTGGCACTCAACAGATCGAAAGCGGTCGACGGTTTTGTGCACATTGATGAAGTAGAATTTATTACTTTCTTTTCAGTCTGTCGTGTTTGACGTGTTGAAGAAAACAATACGTCAGCTGCTTATCTTTTGCGCGCAACCAAATACGAAAATAACGATAAGATGTCGTATTCTGCCGCTGTGCTTGCTGCCTACACTAGGATGTAGGTGTGAGGGTATCTTAGCCATCCCGTATGCATACCCACACCCGTAACTTATTGATGACAATTCAAACAAAGAAACTGTCGTGATACTGAATGAATTTTAATTTTTTCTTTTGCATTTTATAGTTTCTCTTCTACCTGTATGAGTTCAAGCTCAACTAACTTATATATTGTTTTCGATTTTAGAGAAAAGAACTCCGACACTTTACCGATTTTTACTTTTTCGATCTAGCTGCCGATGTCTTCTCTTTACTGAAACCCACATCCACCCTATGAGTATGAAATTAACATTAGGTTTTGATTACAATGAGTCGCAATAAAAACTAGAATATCAACTGAAAAAGCTTCATCTTTTGCTACAATCGTGTATTTTAAGAGCAAAAAGAATTAATCCAACTGTGCCAATCCGACCGGTGGCCTATTCTTTTCTCTCTATCACTATTTGCACGTAGATATATGTCCTTACGTATGCACTTTGATCAAATGCCTTTGATCTATATACTGAGTGATGACTTTACACGTCGAGAGTAACATTTTCTTACGATATGTCATTGGCTTATGATGTGGCATTATTCTATACGGCGTGACATTTTCATGTAGCAGAATACTGAATGTTCCAAGTACTAAATCAGGGACGAGGAATATTCAGTATGGTTAGCGATTTCTTAAATAAAATATGCATAGTCGACATCATACTCCAGTCTCGAAATCGTCACATCAGCATTAAGACTTACAGTAAATTCCCGTCACTTACGTCCTAGTCTGTTGCTTCTAAACGTTATTTATCTCCTTGGCGTAGAAAAGGCGGCTCGTCGTTTTTTATTTTTCTCTTTTCTTCTTCTTTTTCGTTCTGTACTCTATAAACGCAAATAGTATTTTTCTTTCTCATAATGCATCGTCATTGCCTACGTGCACACAACCGTCATCTGATTATTTAACTAAATCTTATTGTATCATGTTACATATCAGAATCAGAAAGTTAATCTTCAAAACAAACATACAAGAGCTATTTCTTAACATTATGTACGACTATATATTCAGACTTCGTCATCAAGAATAAAATATAAATCGTAAAATGCACTTAATTCTCACTTGTCTTTTTCTTCTTTTCGTGACACCTGTAATTCAAGGATGGCAGTGGCAGAAATGGACAGGAACATTCTCTACCGATGTATCACCATGTAATCGTAACGTTTGCTGTTGTCTATCGGAAAATATCGTACTGACGTGGAGTCCGGGCACTCTTCATGCTGCTTTAAAATTTGCTGGTCAATGTGGATCTCTGACAAGTCTAGCGGTAACAACACCCTATCCTGCAGGTTTAACAACATCACTCTCGATTGGACCTGGTCAACCAACTCAGCTAACTCTTAGTTCAGATAGTCTGACTATCATAGGTACATCTCCTATCAACCCTGTTTGCAATGGACGGGCTCGACGTATCAGTTGGTTACCTTGCTTCTATCGACAAAAATGATTGTAGTTCTTCATATTTACTCGAATAAATAATCTTATCTTGAGGGTGTGGGTGTGAGTGGAGAATAGTCATCCACAGCCTTAAAATGGGTGAGAGTAATATTCTCATACCTCACTCTTACACCACATCCACGCTATTGGTAGTTTATTCATCGATCCCATAAAGGGAAAAAATGTAAATACTTACTTTTCTTTCTGTGTGAAAAATGGTTTTTACCAATTTAAATATTGATTACGAACACATATAAAAAGATTGCTGTTTTACAATAATAGACTACATTTAAAACATTGACTTTCATTGCTTAATCAATGACAATGAATTGTTCTCAACTGATCGTCTGGTTGGATGCAAATGCGAATGTTTATATTAGCAGTTTTCGTAAGAAACTAACTAATAATGAACATCAATGTGTGAAAATATTTACTGAAATCAATCCATGTATAACATTCATTATGATCACATCAGTCAAATATATTTATTTTCTGCTTCAATTGCATCACATACTAGTTGGGCTATAGATTATACAGATAAAATATTAATGTTCGATCATGAAAATGATTTACTTCGAAGACTTTTTAATGATATAGAACAACATTTGCGTCAACAAGGTGAACAATATCTTAAACAAACTAATCATTGTAAAGATTATGCAGAACTATTTAAACAAGATCAATGTGGTTAAAATAAAAGGATTTTCATTATTAATTTTTTTTTATAGGTATCAACAGTTTATTTTAATCTGATATCTGCACTCATACTAAATTTAATCAACCTTTCTACCTTTTATGAAGATTTGGCAGTTTTACAAAGAAGTAAAGTCGATTAGTATGTGGGTGTAAGATTTAAACTACGTCAATCATACTCACTCTGAAACACCCACACTCACACACACACACCCACACCTACACACCCACACCCACACCCACACCCTCAAGATTATTATCTTTATTTAGTCAAGATTCGTTTTGTTTAGTATCACTCACTGAGTAATCTATAGATGTTGGAAAAACTGATCGTTATATCTGGAATCAATTTATTAAAAATGTCGATTGACGGTTTGAACGCATTATATTTGATTGATATTCATTTATTTGAAAATTCAAGTTATTATTCTCGACTAAATAAAGAGACTTAAAGAAAACTGAATAAGTTATTGAAGAATTTGTAAATTAAATCTTTCATTTGATGAAAAATGTTGCAATAGCAGTACACAAATTAAATCCAAGTGCAATAATAGCCAAGATACTTGATACGCCAATGTTGGGGGATACGACAAACACCTTGTTGTTATCAGCAACTAAAATATGTTTACTTTTCATAGCATAACTTAATCCGGTAGCTACACCAATAATTCCGCTAATAAGACATGCAATAATAAGACCTTTAACAACTAAACACATGTGTTTCTTCATATTCTCATCAATTAGTATAATCGGGTGGGTGTGGGTGTGAGTGTCGATCTGTTCTTCTACTACACTCACCTCACCCCACATCCACACCCTCAAGTTAAGGTAAGGTCTCCAATCTGACTTATTAATGGCAAAGTTCAAACTCCGGGTGTGGGTGTGAATGTGAGTATAGTAGAAGAACAGATCGACACTCACACTCACACCCTCACACTCACACCCTCACATTCACACCCTCACCCACCCCACACCCACACCCTATAATATGATCAGTTTATATCCAAATCTTTTACATTCGAGTTTAATATCCAATAAAAATTCCTTTGTTCGTCTTTCAAATGGTATATAATACGATATAGAAATATATTCTTCTTTTCTTCTTCAAATAATTCACAGACGTTGAAATACACAATACTCGAAGATTTCAACAAATATTTGCCCACTTTTTTTCTAATAATAACAAAGGATGTATTTGAAATCAGCATAAGAAACCAGGGTGTAGGTATTGATTTTGTATTCATATTCATTCAATCTTTTTTAATCACGATTATTCATAGTATACTAAACGGAGTATTGCAAGTATACAACTTTCGTCAGGAGAAGAATCGATTATATTTCATTTGAAGTATTTTCGTTATTAAAGGTACAGTATTCTTATTTTTCTTACACTCATAATGACAATCACAACTCTCGCTTTTGGCTATGCTAAAGATCCATGGACAGTTTATTTTGCTGGTCAAAAAATAGAAGGTGCATCAGCCATATCTTTTGAAGTATTAAGTGATGGTTATGCAAAAGATCCATGGAATGTTTATTATATGGGTCAAAAGATAGAAGGTGCTTCAGCAATATCATTTCAATCATTAGATCAAGGTATGGCAAAAGATGGATTTCATCATTATTATTGTGGACAAAAATATAATGGTTTCACTCCACCCATGCATAACTTTCGTTAACTTTATCAACAATAAAAAAAACAATTAATAAGAACATCTTTTTATATAAGTTCGAAAGAGTTGAATTATTATTTCCATTTTATTTAATAAAAAAAACTATTATTAAGCTTAATACACTTCTTGTCGGTATATATTATTATTTCAAATTATTTGTATAAGACAAATTATGAGTTCTAATGCTTATAAAATTACATACATATCTTTGTAAGCTATAAAAACGGTTGTACTTTATTTTATTTTTTCTTTCATTTATGATACTTCAGAATTATTTCTATTTATTGAATTTTAATCGAAGTACTTTTTTCCGTATTGGTTTCACTTTATTCTCACTATCGAAGAACAATCCGTTGTGGGTGTGGGTTGAGCGATTATAGGCACGAACACCCAAACTCACACCTCTGTTGTCGATGCTTATCACTTAATAATAGTTGTGCTAGTGACTTGATATTTGTGAAAAAATACTTGTTTTTTTACTAGCTCTACTTTTCAATCAGGGTGAATATGGGCGTTTGTGCCTGTAATCGCTCAACCCACACCCTATATTATTCCTATTTTTCGATATTCTTCATATATAAAATTTTCATTATTATATATATATATTTATCGTTTCACTGCACCTTCTCTCTATTTGACTTCAATAGAACTAAGTTGCTAATATTTATATTACTTCAATATTGATATTATATGCAAAAATCAGACACACATACACTTGTTGATTAACAAACAACCATGTAGCTTCATAAGTTTTCAAATAGTTTTATTTCATAAACTTGTTTGACAACTCGACAGGAAATCTTCTAATCCTTTAGAAGAAATTAAAATATTTTAGAAAAAGACTATTTCTGCTTGCTTGTTCGAAAGAGAAGTGACCACAGTCCTTTCTTGAAACAAAGAAGTAATGAGATAATTAAAACTATGATGACAAACGTATCTTTTTACATAACAGTTGGCTTTCTATATATATGCTATATTTTTCTGTAGCGAGCTTCACCAAAACTGCCCTATTTATAACGTCATCGCTTTACAAAAAGTGATAACTGTTTTTGTTTATGAGTTAGTCTGAAATTTTATTGACAAAAACTAGATACCTAACGTTACTTTTTTGTGTGCTATCTGGTGCACTTGTTTTTATTCGAAGAACGTCTCATTTTAAAATAATTCTATGTAACGCGATGACGTTTGTTTTATAGTTGTAAAAGAACCTTTTCAAACAACGAATTTTTTGTGCAAAAACCCTTAAAAACTGTGAGTAATGGGTCTTTTTGTTGATTACTAACAGGTTGTCATACAAATAGACGTCTTTAGTCTATGATAAGTGGGTAAGAAGCATGGATGTGGAGACAAATGGTTTTGAATGCGAGTATGGGATGTGAGCTGGTATAGGTATATCCACTTATATCCTCTTTGATCCCACATCTTCGGTCACCCATTCACACTCTCAAAGTTGCTCTGATAAATCTTCTCGATGAATACTTTAAGTCATTTCTATATCAGTTCGAAGTTAAGAAAACTTTCCGTATAAAACATTGTCAACGTTTATTTTGAAACAGTTTCATTGAAAATTCGATCAAAAAAATAACCCTATCTTCGTGACCGAGGTCACTTATCGAACACATATATATACTGTTCATCCTCTTTTCACTTTCAACCATGAACTATTCGCCTCTTCTTCTTTTTTCTCTTCTATTCTCTCTCTCTTTGTTTTGTCATAATAGAAAAATTAGACAGGAGCATACTTTCATATTATAGAATCTCTTGTGTCCAATGACTTGAAGAGAATACACTTACACACATGGACTTTTGAGATGCCACGGTAACTATAGAACTGAAAAAATAGAGTTAACAAGTATCCTGATGATAAAAACTTTGGTTGCACTGGAGCCTACCGACCCTGAATGTATAAAGAACAAAAAAACAAATATCCTTCTGTATATCTTGGATTATCACTGTTTTATATTTATAATAATTTCGTTAAGAATTTATTTAATTTAATTTAAATAAAATCTTTTATTCTGTTTCAAAATATTAAAAAACTGAATACCGTCATCATATAATTAAACAACGTGACAAACGTACAACAAAAATAGAATAATATTATTTGTTTATGTTTACGATGATCACATTTTATAATAATGTGATTATAATATTTATTTTTACAAGTTAACATCAGTCATAGAATGACCGTTTTCATCATGGTTTAAGATCGAAAAATATAATTTTGTAACAACGAAAGATTTAATTAAAACTAAATGTCGCATTATTTCAAACTTATTCAGAGTAGACTTACATAAGATAGATGAAAAGAAATTATTCATATTCATGTATTAAGTCATACGTAATATCTTTTCGAGAAAGGTTTTTTAGTACAAAAACAAAATAATATTTGCTAAGCATATTCATGATGAAGATAATATCTACTGCGTATAATTGCATGCTTCAGATATTTCTCTTACGTATTTAACACGCTGATATTTTCTTTTAGAATCATTTCATATTTGTGATTTATTTCAAACATGTACGGTACTGGTTATAACGCAGGCAACAATCTCGGAGAACAAATTACTGATAACTTCATCAATCAAAATATTCCAGGAGGAGTCAACAGTAAGTTTTGTCTTTTACTTAAATATAGAACTTATTTGAATATTCTCTGTTAGGTCCAATAGGTGAACAATTAGACAACACAATCGGTGGAAATCCTAATCCAACAATCGGTCAATATGTTGGTGGTGCTCCAGGTGTTGGAGGTCAATATTCTGGATAAAATATAAAAGTTATCATTACAAATAATATAACATTTTCATACGTATTATTGAAACTAAAATTATTTATTCTTTTCTCGTAAATAAAATCAGAAAAAAATATTTTTAACAAGAATTATTCATACTGACGTACATTTTACTTAATTGGTTTTTAATACTTCGTTCATTTTTTTTAGCATATTATGTTGAGAAAGAGAAAATAAGAAGTATACTACAGTCTCTGTGGCGGACGTACTAAAATTGTAATAAAAAAGACGTAAAATTCGAGCATTGTACCCAATGCACAATATGTATTACGAAGTTTGATGTTAATAATATCAACAGCATGTGATCGTTCTTATTGATAGTTGTGATAAATGATCAGATATGACTCAACTTGTCATTATATTTTTTCTTTTATACACAATATATCTATCACATTATAAAAAATATCGAAATTATTCATGCGTGATCAAAGAAGAAAAATATGAATTAGAATAAAACCATGCGTACATATCAACAGTATTATTTGAAAGGTAGCCGGTGTATTATAATTATTAGATAGAAAATTATATTTCATGTTTGTTTTGTCTATCGTAAAATCGTTATAAAATTCATGACGCACTATATGTATGTACCCTTAACTCAGTAAATGATGACTAATGTTATAGATATTCTAATATTCTTTGTCTCTCTGATGTAGAGAACGGAGCAAAATTTCTAATATACGAAGAAAAAATATCATCATTTTTTGTTTTCATTGTTGTTAATATCAAATTTCTCTCTACTTTTATACACAAAATTGTCTTTGTACAATATATTATGCAAACTTATCATATATATCTTTAGGAAGCTACAACTAGATATGATATTTTAGTACTTTAAAAGAATATCCGTTAAACTTGACGTACAATCCAGACTAGAAAGCTTGTTGATTTAAATAATATTCTATACAGCATATTTTGTATTATTAAAAAAGTGTGGATACGAATAACAAAAAAAGAAAAATATCCACTTATATCTAAAATCTTCAAACACAAAGTCGTTGAGTAATATGAGACAAAATTCGAACTGAGATAGCCACAAACATCTCTTTTCATCATTTTTACTACGTTATTTTATATACATTTATATCTTTATGATCACCTACCAAAAGTACTGAACTCTGTCTCTGAATATTTTACTATTCGGTATACTCTTCGACCTCATTTTAAAAAAGATCTTTAATTAATAGAAACTATGAGTATGATTAGGAGATGAGAAGTTCTCTTGAAAAAATCTTCGCAAAGAAAAAACAAGGTCATATGACGAAGAATACTCATAAAAAGAACCTCAAGTGGATATACCCTCATCAGAACAACTTTTGCTTTTTATAAATTTATTTAAACATATTCATATCAGTATTTCACAAAAATCGTGATAAGTAAACAAGAATTTTTTTCTACAAGAAACAGATACATACATCAATTTTTTTTTAATATTTATTCATTAACACTAAATAAAAATGAAAATCTTTTTATAATATTTTGTATAATTGAATAATCATATTATATAAATGTTTATCTTATGAATTTATGAATCATCTAATGCTGATAATAGTCGTGTAATAATAGTTTTTATTTGATATTTTATGTCAGACAAGCAGGATGGACATTGTTCATAAATAGCTAATGCTCGTTCATAATAATCAAGTGTCATTTTTAGTTGATTAAGATGTTCGTAGCATTCAGCGATGTTAGAGAAACTTTGCCCAGTATTTTCATCATCTGGTGATAAAACTCTTTAATGTACCAAATAACATTTGATTTCATATTGGAGAACTAATTCATACTCATGTCGATTTCGTTGTACTTGAACAAAATTGGAAAGCGTAGTAACAATAGACAAATGATTAAAGATTGTTCAAAATACTCAATTTCATGATTATAAAATCGTTTTACGCATCAAATTAATTCAATCCATTCTAGAATATGTGTGATTTTAGAATAAATGGTTGAATTGAATTTTTTAAGTAATACTACTACTTGAGAATAATAATCAAGAGCTTCATCGTATATATTTATTTTGCTTACTTAACATTTTTTCAATACAGCTGAGGATGTTAACAACTTAAGCATAATATGATGAGTAATATTTCTCAAGTGTAACAAGGGCTTATTGTTGATAATAAAGAGCTTCTTTATAATTTTTTTTCCTATTTATTTGTACATCACCAATATTATTCAATGTAGAAACAATAATTAAATGAGTAAATGAATAGTATTTCATTAGTATCGATAATGCCTGATGATACAGTTCTAAATATTCATCGTATATTCCTTGTCTATTTCTAATATTTGATATATGAATCAATATCTTAACAATATTGACATGATTATATGAATGTAATTTCTTGAGGATTATCAATACTCGTTAATAAATATATAGAAATTTCTCATATTTTTCTTAATGAATAAGAAGGCAACCATTGATATGGAGAGCAGAACCATTGTATAAACGATTTCTTCGATAACAGTTGTTGAAGATCAACATTACTCGTCCGTGATGATCAAGTGGTTTATAATATTTTTCTTGCTGATGTAAAATCTCACCAATGTTGTTTAGACTAGAGGGTGTGGTTGTGAATATTACACTAACCTTACTCCGATACATCCACTCGCACCCACACCCTCAAGTAAATAAAAGATCTTTTGCACTCGTATTTCCTTGAGAATGAACGAATATATTTTATTTAAAAATAATATTTCAGACCATTTCCACAGGTTTTTGGTGACAACTTTAAAAGTGGAGTTAAAATTGTCATGAAATCGTTAATACTAGAGCATCATGGTATTCGACATACAATAAGCATAGAAAGAAAATTGATGCGTTTTAAAATACCTTTCGGACATCAACATATTATTCAAAAGACGATTTATTGTCCTGCATAATATATGTAGCAACAGAAGTTGTTGAAATGCTAACTTGAATAGTATCAGTCAAATTTTTATTAAATTTCAACAAATAAAAGCTTCTGTGTAAGAAATAAAGTCAGAATAGATATCTATTTATTTTTTATCGCTTTATAAATACTTAGATAACAATAAAATATCAAACAGAGTATCATGATAACGTACGAGCAATGATAGAATTTTCACCAGTAAGAAAATAACTCTGCTAATTGACTCAAATTTTTTGATGCAACTAGAGGTGTAAGCCGTGCGGCTGAGCCGCCGTCGCCGCCGATGAACCATAAAAATCTAAAGCCGCCGCCAGCCGTGCCTGCATAAATTTTTAAAAATTAAGCCGCCGCGCCGCTGAGGCACTTTAGTTACAGCAGCCGCGCCGCCGATGGTATTTGAAATTTAAAAATTTTCGAGCCGCCGCCAGCCGACACTTAGGCCTTTATTTATTTTTTTGCACATTTCTTTCTAGTAATGTACATTTTTGATGAACTTCAATATTTTAATTTATTGTTCAGCTTAATATTAGTGATGTACTTTGTTAATTTGAGATGTAAAATAGAGTTTCTAAAAATATTCGTTTGAAAATATAATACTTTTTTAAACTTCAAGCCGCCGCGCCGGTGAAGCATTTTCGCTATAGCCGCCGCGCCGCCGATGGCATTCGAAATTTTAAAATTTTCGAGCCGCCGCCAGCTGGCAACCTTAGAATGTGGCAGCCGCGCCGCCGAACATTTAAAAAAAATTTTTAAAACTTAGCGCCGCCGCCGATGACCCTACCGGCTTACACCTCTAGATGCAACACACCATAATTTATTTCATGATTTATTCGTACAAATCTCTTCCACCAAATCTATTGTTCGACCCGATATTAATATTATTAAGAAAAATGTAACACTTGTTATCGCAGTAATCTGGTGATTATTTATTCCTTTTCGAGATTGTTCTTCAATATCCGATCTATAAGAGCTTTTTAAATTGTAGTTATTCCTTTCATTTCGAATATTTCATATTCATTTGAAAATTCATTTTAATTGCAGACTGTATAAGAGATAGACAAAATATTTAGGATTTAACTAGTTTAATTAACGTCATAAATCTACAAAATTGGTTAATCTATGTTCTATAAACAAGAAAGGAAAACTGAAGATTTCTTCATTAATTTTACATATTTTCATATATATTATTCCGGAATATCTTGTGTCAATGTGAGATGCGTACTCTTAATCATTTACAACCATATCTACATCTCATGAGATCCATGAAATGCTGAGGTTAGGTATAAAACTTAGAAAAAATCGGTAATCAAGTCTTATACGCTAGAAAACTACGATAGTTAGTCCGAAAGTTGTTGCATAATTTGAAAATTCTAATTTATAAACTTTTTATGCTTTCTAGGTAAATAAATTCTAACTGTAATATTTTGACCGTAATAAAAACTATGTTCAAACGCATGATTTTCAAAATAAAAGAATATTGATAATTTGCAATAGTTGTTAACTATCTTCTGTTGTGATTTAGATGTTGGACGTGTTACAATAATTTGTGTTAATCTCGAATGATCCATACTCTTAGAAATCAGTTCTTATGACTTAAATAAAGTTTCATTAAAAGAAGTCACTTTCTTTCTTATAGTTTCTTCTGAACTTGGCTGACTCACTCTTGTGAAATAAGTTTGGGCGAGGATGAGGATGTGTTGTATGGATCGTAAACGTGCAGGAGTATATTTTTTATCAAAGACAAAAATGCAGTGCCGTCATATTTTTCTTCGTTCTTTACGTACACGTCTGCCGTTTCAGAACGTTCTTATATGCCGATGACGAGGTAAAAAAAGTAACTAGAACACACACGTTTAATATTTTTCTCTTTTTCTCTTTTTTTTATATAAATACTGCTGGTTATATACAACATTTCTATTTTCTTTAACGTATCACATATAATTACATAGC